ATGACTTGGACTCGAGTCAAGGAGATACCCTTTGTTAAGTTACTAAAAGCATTTTATAGGCTAAATACAACATGTTTAAAGAATCGGTGTTACGCTTACTGGAATATTTAAAAAAGTTATCCATGATTGAAAAAAATGTAAAAATGTAATGATTGATGATTGATGATTGATAGTATCTATTTGCTTTAAAACTTGTTAATTTTTATTAATTCTATTATAATCTTACTGTTACCACTTTTACTGTTGTATGAATTTAGCCATCTTATTAACATTGTATCCATTTTTGTAAACTGGTGTAAACCCTTGGGAAATTAATAAACGATAGGTTATCCATGATAATTACTAAACATAGGTTAGATAGGACAAAATTCTAGTCTTTAATTTTCAGTATCGTTTCCTTCCTTTAACTACTTTTTAACGACCTTCTACAGAAAAAGAATAGTTACGTAAATTTTAACGTCCAAGCTTTCAATGCAATGTTACGCTAAGACACGAGAATTCTATTTGAAAATCGCAGCGTGAAATTAAGAAATTGAGAAGAAACGAAAAACATCGTGAGATGTAAAGGTGACTGACTCATTTCACAGACAGACAGAAAGACAGAGGTCCTGCTGAGCTCCTTATATCCTTGGTCACGGTCAAGGATGTCTTGTCTTGTATAACAATGATGAGCCTAGCCTCATCCTGGGAGGTTAATGCCACGGTCAAGTCTACAATACAGGATCTGTCACAACCATTCTAGTGCTAACTCGTTAATTTCTGCACTGCTTTCTTTTTTAAAATAATTTTCCACAGTTCACGTTTCATTTTAATAGATACGAATTTTCATTGTTGATGTTAAAATAATGTATGGATTAAATATTTCCATACAGCAAATAGTATGTTAATGTTGTGGCAAAAGTGTTTAACTATTTTGTGGGATAGGAATAAGCAATTAATAAAAGTGGTGACTTCTAAAATGAGCCTTTTGTTTAAAAAAACAAAATCCCTTTTCAGCGGTGTAGTTCCATAGGAGTTTTTTAATCATCTAATAATACGTTTGTTTACCTTTTAACTTAATTTTAACTGCATTTCAAAAGAAAATTGTTTGTTATTTTATAAATGGTACCTCTAACTTACAACTCTTTTCAAAATAATTAAATTCAAACCGTCAGCAGGTTTAATTACAACCACACGCCGTTCTGTGGTTGTGGTTTGTAAGTTCCGTGGTTGTGGTTTGTAAGTTCCGCGGTTCATCCTCAACTTCCGTCCTTTCTCTGGTGATGCAGATTTTATTACAAGAGTTATGAAATTTCTCTAATCAGGAAAACGAAAATGTAATCCTTACTCTGGTGTTTGGGCTTTGGATTGTAATAAATTATCGCTCTCTCGGTTGGAAAACTACATTTTAACTCTTTATCAAGCTTTTCATAGTCCTTAGTTTGTACGAGTTACTATTAATTGACTCCTCATTGATTTAAACCTATTATCTTAAACATAAAAAAATATTATTTAGACCGATATCGTGCAGAAAGAAATATTTCACATTACCGTGTAATCAATCAGAGCAAGTGAACACATAATAGTGTTAACCATAATAAGCGAATCAAACTATAATAATGCCAGTTTTGATCAAATTAAGGTCAAAATAATTACGACAATTCGTCGATAAATCACGAAAAATTTGATTTAATCGAAATTAGAGAAGCGAACAAGGATCTATAGTTTGAAGCACTTATAAATTTATCACTGTATTTTCATAGTTCCATTGTTGTAGGCCTACTGTAAAGTCAGGATATTTAAAATTATGAAAACCCTCCAAATAAAATAAGTCTAACTCCAGCCAAAAGTAAAAGTCCAAACTCTATACTCATAACCCCCTCCAAACACACAGACATGGGCCATTAATTAAACAAAGGAAAGTAATGGTAATGGCGAATGCCTAATGGGGTGCCATTGAGCCAAATGGTGGTGTGGAGGGAAAGGATCCTAATGAACCATTCTTCCGAATACTCTGACCAAACTGGGAGAAAACATTAATTGTGCTTCCGCAAGACGGGGTTCAACGATTGCTACAAGTTCAATGTTAAGTGATGGATCTGACGGTTAATTATGAACGATTAATGGTGATGAGGCTTGAGATGCTTGTCATTAATTGATGTTAATTATTGTGATGGCCGCGTGATGGAGATAGTTAATTTTCTTGAGAAGGATGTGATTAGTACCTCAAATTGTATTGGAGTGTTGTTGCATTTAGCCGTCATTTTTTTAGTGGATTACATAAATATGACGCTGACATACAAAGGGTGAACATGAGGGAATGATGAGAAAACGAATTATATGACAGCTTTGTTACCGAATTGGATCGGCTGGATTTTTAGTCAGGATAATTTATTACAAGCACAAAGATAAACAAAGGATATTTGGGTCCAATTAATTACGAAATGTTTTGACTTTCATTTAGAATTTTCTAAGAATCCTACTGGTAGCCTGCTGATTATTTATTTAACCTTTCAACATTAAACTAGGTTTTTTTCTGAAATACAAAATATGTATATTGATGAGGATGTTGGCAACATTAGTAGACAATGTTGGTACTGCAATAGTGAAGTCTAAACTATCTTATAATTCTAAAAAATCCATATGCTTACATAAACTATTCCATCTAAGGTAGAATAGTTTCATTTACATTCTAGTCAGTATAAGTACAAGCATATTTGATTGAAATTATTTAAAATTTTTTAGTTTTAAGATATTCTATAGGGTTCTGATCAGTTAATAACCAAAAATATTAATTTTTTTTACAAAACATGACCTAAGAGATTTATATCAGTTTATTTTAACCGGAATCGTGAAATTAATTATAACAGAAACAAGGAAAGTCCCAATTATTTTCACACTAAGATTTAATAAAACAATACAAATGTAGACAATTAATGTGTGTTAAAATTTTAAATTTGGATATTGTCATAGTATCTTACAAGCAATGTACACAGTTTCTGTCCTCATCTGCTAATGGTTGTAAATTTGTTTTGTTGGCCATTTACAAAGAAAGCGCGTTAACCAGAGTGGGCCATTTACTGAGCCAGTGCTTCCATTAATGTTATGTCTCATAATCGGCTGCCATTATCATATGCTCTCGTGTTAATCGGTGCAAGGACAAGCCGCCAAAGAAGTCTACAAATTCTGACAGCAATTTCGACTTCGAATTAGTAATTAATCCTAAACTTCATTAAACAGAATAAAAAGTGGTACTCTAAATTAATAGTTTATGTTCATCTGTTTAAATCTACTGGGTTTCGTATTACTTTAATAGTTTTACAGAATTATTTAAATTTCGAAACCCTAAGTATTGCTTTAATGTAGATTCTATTTGTTGACTATTAATACGATTCTAGGGATTTTTGTTTTTAAATAAATCGTCCTCCTGATGTTAGTGAGGATACTTCTAAAATTGTACTTACATTTATGATGAATTAATTATATCCAGTAATATATATGAATTTATATTGATTAATAAGTAAATGATAACTAGATTTATGATACACCACTTTAACATTATATTTCTGTATTTGTAGGCATATTACAAACAGTTTAAGAACTTGGGCTTCACTTATTTATTTTGTATCTATTATTTTTATTTTAAAGACAGCTAACATTTAGTTTATTTATTTTTTATTTTCAATTTACTTGTTTTAAAAACTAGATTATAATGGAACAATGCCTTGTGGTTAAAATGTGTGTACCATGTGTATTGTGTATGATATTATTCGCTTGTATTTTTTTCGTATCATACACAAATACATAGAATACGACTTTGTATCCCTTTATTGGCCTGCTTGACCTGTATTTATTCTATTTATGTAGATTTTACTACAAACTATAATTAAAACAAAATGTCAAAATGGTTAATTTGGATCACGCGCTGTATCTGTAAATTAAAGAGCCATGAGTCATAAACTTGACGACAACATCACGTCCGATTATAAAAAATACATAAAAAAACATTATTCACATAAAAAAATGTTATAATTTGACAGAACTACATGGTATTATAAGCATTTATTCAAAATATATTTTAAAAACTTGGTTGGATAACTGAAGAACACGATCACTTGATACTACTACAGACATTTTAACCTTATATTTAAATTTTAAAAATCCCCAGTGGTCAACTAATGGAAAAATGGTCTTAAAAGTAATACTGGTTTTTAACATTCTATTTAAAATTAAAAACTCCAGTTGTCATTGTACGAAAAAATGGGATGACTTAATTATATTATTGGTATTTAAAGCTTATGTTTAAAATGCTAGTGATCTAATTCAAAAACAGTCTCACTTTACAACACTACATATTATAAAGACTTATATTTTAAATTCAATACCCAAGTGGTTGTGTGATTCCATGATCTTGTAACAGCTTTTAGGCAAAATAAATATTTTAACCTAGGTAACAAGACAGTTTTCACATTCAACCGTAAAAGTTGAACAATCATCACATACAAGTACTACATTTACTTGACCGTTTATTTAAAATTTAAAAAATCAGGACTATTTGACAGTACTTCAGGAATTTAAACATTCTTAAAATTTTTAATAATCAAGATCACGTGAGTGCTAGAATTTTTTAAACGGTCTATTTAAAAGTTCTACTTCAGGTTACAGTATAAAATACAAAACCAATGTTTCCGTGATCTAAGGGTTTTTTAATGTCTATTTATTTTTTTTATCAATATTAAGTGTCTGTACTATAGGAAGACAGGTAGTATATTTTGACAGTCTATTTGACTAAATCCTACAAATCAGAAAAAAATCTAGTTTACTTGAAAGTGTTTCAGGTAGCCCATTTATTTTATTTAAATGTATTAAAATAAAACCGTTTATTTAAAATCAGGATTCATCTATTGAAAACCCAGCTGTCATCTAAAAAGTCGAATCACTTTTATTACAGTTACGTTAGCATCTATTTTTTTATTCAGGTCCTCATGGAATTTTTATTTATTTAAATGTTAAACCCCTACCTGTGGCAGGTCGGTGTACTCGGCACTATCAGAGTCCCTAGGTGGAAGGACGACATCCTGGTTGGTAATGGCTCTCCCAGCATGTACTAGCGCGACTATACACGCACACACACACAGGACACTCATCGCTCCTGACTCCAGGACCAAAGGACGACGACTGGCGCGGATCCTGCTCCCATCTCCTGCTCCTGCCTCCCCCCTCCCCCTGGAGGACGTCCCTTATCACTGATAACAGTTAGGTAACAGATCCTCTCTCCGAGAAAGGTCAGAGTTCACATTTTCGCTTTCCACCTTTTCAAGGTTTGCGGTTTTATTAATTTGGTTGATTTTAATTGCATAGTTTGGAATAGTTTTTTTAAATTTGTATTCCTACCCATGTATTCCTTATTTTATGGTTTACGTATAACTTTAAACAAACATTCAGTATAAATTTGATTTGCATGTACTTAAATATGGGATTTTTGTATTTAAAATTATTATATTAAACATTGAGTTCAATAGAGCTTTTTCTTCTTATCTTTTCATCGGGGTTTGGTTTCTACTTTGCGAATTTGGTAATTTTATACGTATATGTTATAAGGTAGGTTATTTCCAGTGAACTGCTTTATATATACGTTCATAATTGTTTTGGGGTGGCTGCCTTTTTGTGAGTTTGTTTGTTGTAATTTTAGGGACTTAATTTGAATCCTAATTTACAAACTAGTGAGCCCTAGCTAGTTGTTTTTCGTTTTTAATTTTTTCAGAAATTGTATGAGTTTGAAGTGACGTAAAACACAATGTTCATAAAATTATAATTATTGAAAGCCTAATTGATTAGTGTTTACTGCTTTTATATTTTGTTTAAACTTTTGTTGCTGTTTTTGATCGTATACAGGCAAATATTATTTTTACTTACGTTTGAGTCACGTATGCCTTTGAGTCACTTCCTGAAATCCACTATGAGTGCATTGTTTAACTCAAATGCGAGTCGAAAATGTGTTTAACGATCGCATTATCTTGTGTACAATGCTGCATAGACTACGTGTAGGTCAACAAACAATTCTCTGCTATTCCGCATCGAACGTTAAACAAAGGATGACGTAGGCGGACGATTTGTTACTCAATCGCAGTAGAAGAATATGTCAAAGATCAACGTATGTTTGAAGTATTTGACTACGACGAAGAGAAATCTGCGTGAAAAGGCAAATAACAAAAACTATGAACAACTACTACATATTGATTCATGTTGAATTCCCAGGATAACAATACAGATACTAATAACCTGGTAACAATAAAAATAAATTCAATGAAAACTACAAAATATGTGTTTTTATTGTTAACTCACTTATTTTCATGCGACAGTCATTTCCAAAAGTAATATAAAATACGTAAAAGCTTCTATGTCTTTTATTAGGTTAAAAAACTTTGCAATGTAGTGGAGAAAACTATTAATATTAATGTATAACGCATTACGAAATACTATTTAAACATTTTGGTATATAAATCTTTATCTCTGATTACAGTTCAATTAAATTTAAATCTTAATATATCCTATTCATTAATAGGCAAGCATGTTTCATTAAAACCTTTTTTCTCAGCTCGTGTATATCGTAGGGAAAATCTACACACATTATTGAAAAGACATTCTCCTAATCCCTTTATAAATTAAAATAGGCTCAAAAATAAGAGCAAAACATTAATTTAAAATCAAACAAATTAACTTGGGCCTTATGAGTTGCGATGCTGGTGACGAAATATAAACAGAAAATCAAAACGAATTGAAGGAATTCCAAACACATGTTTTATTCCAAGCGTGGGGTGAAAATAGAGAAGTTTGTACATTACATATTTTTGGTCGAGTTTTCGACCTCTGAACGACCTCCAGTATAAATAAAATTAAACCCTCCTTTTTAATACACCATACAGGCATAATATTAAACTAAAATGTGTTTAACATCATGTTTTCCCTTCAACACAATACCATTTACCTAGTATACATTTCGATTGCAAGAATAGTTTGATTCAAATCATAGTGATTTCATTGTGGAAGACGTGAATCTTGATTTCACAACTTACACTGATCCTCTTCTTTTTGAAAGGAGGAGAAGTCAATAAACAACGCAAAGTTTCGAATAGTAAAAGTTAAGATTGCTACATCTTCATCTTCGTTGCGGCAATATAAATGATAAGTTGTGGAGCCTTTTACTCTTAGGTAACCAACGTATAAAGAGATTATTGCTGTCAGGCGTATTTGGTTTGAAATTTACATTCACGTTTAGAAACCTCCAATAATGATTAGGATATATTGTTAAAACTATTTTAATGCAAGATTCTTCGAAAACGAAGTTTTTAGGCTCTGGGTGAATATTTTGAAAACACTCTTGATACATGTGTACTTATAAAAAGTGAAGGAAAAATAGAACGTATGTCTTTGAAAACAAATTATTGCTCGATTAAACAGATAAGTCACTTATAAAAAGCTTAGAAAATATAATAAGTTTCATATAACACAAGAAAATTTTTTACTCTTAAATATTTTCAAAATACTCAATTCACAATACTTACTTAGCTTATTAGACAAACAATTAGATAAATAAAAAGATATCCTAGTTTTAAAGACAAAATATTGTAAAATTTAAAAAGATACTAACACCTGTGACCCCAACACACTAATTCAGATAGACTGAATTTATATATTGTAAACACCATGCTATATTATATCAGTACTCCTATCCACGTAGTTTCCAGTCATTTAACAATACAGAAAGGTACCAAAAATTGCCTCAAAATGAAAAAAAGTTGAAAATCCCCGTCTTCAATGTAGACAATAAACATAGCAAACATTAAATTTCACACTTTTTTATTTTAAGCCAAATTTAGGCTACATTTATTGAGTATTTTCAAGATATGAATAATTAATAGTAGATTGTAGGAAATTGTATCCTCTTTCGGAATATTACCTTCCACTTTGGTCGACTTCCTCACCATTTAAAAATTATTTGCAAAAATGTCAAGTAACCTCAAAATTTCTAGTGGTAAAAAAAGTTGGAGATTACTTTTTGACTTTGTACAATTAAATCTACAGTTCTGTTGGATCGATTTTGTTAAATTACGCGTCTTTGGAAGGCATAAACTCTTTGAGTTGCTTTTTCGTTTGATGTGTCTTTTATAAGTTTAATAGTATAAAAATTAGAAAGCATTAAAAATGGGTCCTTCATTTAGAATAACCCTGTAGTATAAATTCTTATCTCCGGGTAAATATATTTCAAATTATTTACTGCCTTAAAAAAGTTCGGAAATTATATAAAGTAATAATCTGTTGGTCTCTTTCACAGTCAAAACTATGTAGAAGATTTCCACAATTCCACTAGAGCCAACCAGGATCTATTATTGAAGGATTACCGGATAGAATCAATCCAAAATGGTAATTAATTCTACTAACCCAATTACAGAAGTTAATTCACAGCAATAACTCGCATTATTGTAAACACATGTAATTGAACAATCCAGTTTTACCTCTTGTCAAGATGTCTTGAGAAGAGAGGATTTCACTTATCTAGAATAAAAAAGTAATAAATGATGCTTTCACAAGAAAACTGTTTTCTTATGTTTTTATGTATACAGGGTGATTGATATAAGTGTGCCAGCCGTTTTATTCGAAAACCACAAGTGATATCAAAAAAAGTTAAATGGTAAGTGCCTTGGATTTTTTATTTAAAAAATTTTAGTCAAGTCGAAAAAATTATTTTGGCCGCCATTTTTCCAATATGGCCGCCAACTTTGATTTTTCTTATAGAACACCCTGTATTTTATGATGTATTCCGGTAGAAAATGTAATTTTAAGACGATTTTATTCTTGTGATTTTTTTCATAAACCCAACCGTTTCAAAGATAATAATGGTTCAAGTTGTGAAATTTTGAATGGTTTTCGAACAAAACAGCTGGCATGCTTGCTTAGGCCTTTATCGAAACTCTTTCTCATGCAGAAATCTCAAAAGTTTAACCATTATTATCTTTGAAACGGTTCGGTTTATGAAAAAAATCACAAGAATAAAATCGTCTTAAAATTACTTTTTCTATCAGAATACATCATAAAATACAGGGTGTTCCATAAGAAAAATCAACGTTGGCGGCCATATTGGAAAATGGCGGCTAAAATAATTTTTTTGACTTGACTACAATTTTTCAAATAGAAAATCCATGGCACTTACCATTTAACTTTTTTTGATATCTCTTATAGTTTTCGAATAAAACTGCTGGCACACTTATATCAATCACCCTGTATACTATTGCAAAAGTGAAAACTTCAACTTGGTTTCTTTTGTGTTTTGTCAGTTTCTCTTCTTCGATGTAAAATATAATACCTTTTTTTTATTCGTATCAATCAACCTAGATGCTTAGCAAGTTTAAAAGTAGTTTATAAGTACTTGTTGTTTATCAGATGAAACTAATATTTTGAAATGCCTACCGTTGTTAACTGAATCGTATTCATCAAATTGTTTGATCAAACTATGCGAAAACGTATATCCGTCAACTGACAACCTACGTGAAAAACGTTTATATTCATAAGAATAAGAGCAAGGTACTAAGTTAATATTTTTATCATCGACAAGTTTTAAAACTATATTTTTAATTTAAATTTAACTTTCTAAATTTTTTTATTTGGGATAAACCCCTAAAACATGTTTCATTTCCTCTTCAACACACATCTTATGCAAAAACTAAAATATAAACACCAAGGACAACTTTATGACAATAGTAGTACCTCCCGTTAATTCACTAAAAATAAACATTAAAATCACAAATAATATACCTTTTCAATCTGACATAAAACAATTAATATTGAATTATTTTTCGAAACCCAATGCATCTAATTACAAATAGTGTTTCAACTACAATCAATTGTCTCAGATTGTGTTGATAGATTTCTGTGTTAGATGATGTCTAATCGCAACTGTGACGTCATAGTAGCCAACATTAGTCACGTGGTCAGTTTAGTTCACACGATCTCACCAACTCTGTTTAGTTTTGCAACGAGTTTTGTTATTCTGTAACTCCGTTTGTTTTCACTTAGTGAAAAAAATCCGGAACACTAGACCAGGCTATGGGTGAATGGAGTTGTTTTGGTTTATCCAGTTTGTAAAGTTGCTTAATCCTGGGTAAGATCA